ATGAACTTAAAAGTGTTTCATCTCAATCAGTCCAATAGTCCTTGCATTAAAAATGCTGGATGAAAAAGAAGTGAGAAAAAATTGTTAGGAGAATTTTTTTAACACAATTTTATCTTTTTATGTCGATATTAGGGTCAGAGAGAGAGAGAGAGAGATAAAAGGAAAATAGAAAAAACATAACAAGTAATTCCCTGTTTGGTTTAAATAAAAATTAAATTTTTAGTAGATTTTAATAAAAAAATTATGAAATTGGTGGTTGAAAAGTTGTGAATTCCATAAAATATATGCCTAAAATTAAGCCCAAGTCTCAAAATGAGTTTTGCAATAGTGATTTTTGAGGAATATACGATTAAAAAGTGAAAAAAAATTGAATTTACATAGAAAATTATTTTATGGGAGAATGTGCAGTTAAAAAATGAATTTTGATAAAAATAGGTTCAAACATAGACTAATTTTGAATTTGATTTAGATTTTAATTATTATTTTTAATTGAACCAAATAAGGGATAAAGAAAGAGAAATATATCAATTTTTTTTTAATCGCGACTCTAACATTATAGAAGGAAAGATGAAAAATAAATGTTGAAAAGACAAAAAAAAAATGCATAATAAAGACTTTATTCCAAAATTTTGGAGGTAAATGAGAAATAAATTGTGAGATTTTATTTGTAAACATTGCTATCCGTCGAATGAATGAATTAGAGATAAATGGTCCCACCTTCATGTGAAGTCGGATCATTATGCAGTTTCTTTAAATTGATTTATGAAATGACATATCATCAATTTTGTCATCATAATTTAGTGAAAGGAAAAGTCAGAGTCCTTTCTTATCGGTCAAAGTAAAAGACTCAATGGGACCCACAAACCTAAAATTCCATTTTTAGATGTACAATTCACATTCCTTGAAGGAAATGGTCTCAAACTTGATTCCTTTTTCCCATTGAGTTTACGTGCAAAAAGTCCATTAGGAATTTTTACGTCTTTCCGTTAAAAGTCTAATTTTAATCCCCGTCAAACATAGGCTTAGATTTTAATTTCTATCAAGCAAGATTTTAAAAGAATATTTGTTCATTTTTTTTAAAAAAAAAATTATATTTCTTTGTAGTCATAGTCAAAACTTCAAGCGCTAAAGAGATACAACCATACTAAATTGCCAAAATTATTTACCCACTTCCTTGATAGAATGCCTCGTGGCATTCCGTCATTAGACTGTTTAAAAACAATCAATTTTTGCACTCCAATCATCTGATGTTAACATTGTATCTGTTAAGTATGTGGGCAAAAAATTCTGTTTAAATGGCTTATTCCAAAGAGATCACAAAGGGAGGGAGAGAATGGCTGAGTCGATTTTTTTTTTTTTTTTTGGCATTATTCAACTATTTTTTTTAAAAAAAAGAAAAAACATCACTCTTATCTTCTCAAAGAAGGCTCAAATTCAGGCCAGTGATTGAGTGATATTTCATTCTTATCACTTGAGTTATACCAACGTTAGACTTTTAGTGATTCTATTTTTCATTTATTTATATTTCATCCAAACTGGAACAAAAATTTGATTCACCTCGATCGTGATTTTGGATGCTCTCGTGTTGACTGTCCCAAGTTGGGAATTTTCGTTTTCGATTCTCCAAAACTATATATTTAAGATAAAATTATAATGATAAATAAAGTAGCGATCTCAAGGAAAATGATAGAATGGATGGATAAAAAGGGACACCACTGTGATTAAATGACATTATTTGGTTTAGAACGATGTAAATTTATTAACAAAATGAATTATTTGCGACAAATATCAGTAACCGTGCAAATAAATGATACAATTTAAACTCATATGTAAATTAAAAAAAATTATAAAAAAATCATCCTAGAAGTGTATAAATGCGTAGAGGATGTATTCATGTTTATTAAAATAGAGTTTTCAAATAATGACCGTTGAACCGGGATTAAAATAGATATACTTTAATGACACGAATGGATGGAAATCATCAAAAGAAATTTTTTTTGCAAACATAATCAACAGGTTAAGAAGGGATCAATCGACCGAATTTTGATATTGATAATAAATTCTCCATATTATTTATTAAAAAAAAAACTCCATGTTCTTACCCGTTAATTTCATTTAGTCAATTCAGAATTCAGGGGATCGAAAGTTGTATTGCTTGTCTACAAAATATAAGCATTCTTATGTTTTTATAACTGAGACATACAATTTAACTTTTAGAATGATGTACAGATTTTAACTAGGGCTTGTTTGAGCCCAATTTTTGTCAAAAAAAAAGCATTTTTAAATAGTGTATTGATAGAAAATGTGTGGTTAAAAAATAAGGATAAATTTTGAGTTTGCGCGTAATATTATTTTATTGAAAAATGTGTGATTGAAATGAGGTCAAAACACCGTTCAAAAATACATTTTTTCAAAGAATTGGGCTCAAATAAGGGCCTAGTCAAGAATTCAACGTATTTTCCGATTTTTTCAATTTGGTCCTTCATACATGAAATTGAGAAGGGTTTTCTCCGAATTGGTCAGTTGTCTATTGTACTAAAAAATGGAAGAAGTTTTCGTGCATGTTTGTAAAAGCTTATAATTACTTATAAGTTGGACAAATTCTATTTTTATCTGCACAATTTTTACTTCCATTTTAACCACAAATTGCTTGGAATCCACTCTTATAGCCCATTACTTCCATTTTAACCACAAACATGCAAGATTTAATCTTTTCATTTCTTAAGAGAGTTTCAAGAAAGTTCAATTTTTTTTTTCTTGGTCTATATGCATGAATTGTCATTTAGAATTCATCTCTTTTGCTTAAATAGGTCAAAGAAATATTAAAAGAATGAATTGATATTTACCTATACTTGGAGGGTAGTTCTTTCACTTTTTTGAAATCACACTCTTGTAAGTCTAGAAAAAAAGAAAAAAAGTGATTTCCTGTTTCCATCCATTTCATTTTCTGGTCCTTTGAACAGATTCTTAGGTTCACCAGCCATGTAAGATAAGACTGCTTTCAAAATGCCATGTACTCTGTATTCGACTCTAGATGAGTGCGGACAAACATTTCACACATCTCTTTTGCTTAATTCTGTCGAGTCTAACATACCATACACGTTAAAGGATGCATTTTTTCTTATTTAGATAGATGAAACGCCACTAGACGGGGTTCTTATGCCTCCACCTAGATCCAATTGGGAGTTTGGATTTTTCAATCCTATTTTAAATATATATAAAGGAAATTACAAGCGCTAGGGGACGTAAGGGGACTTACCTCTCAAAGTTACATCTGGCCTTGTTTATATGTTGCAGAAATCATTACAAAGGTCTTTGGTTGCAATGCATAATTTCTATGTTTATGTATGGGCTATTCGCTGAAAAAGAATAGAGGTATTGGCATATAACGTTATTTTATTTTGACAGGCACAATGAGAAGGCCTTTTACGAACAATTGACTACTCAAATCAAGAAACAGTATTTGAGGATTAAAATTTATGCAAAAATAACAAGCTTTATTCTCTAATCCATTTTCCCATAAACTAATTAAGGAGAAATAATTAATTAAGTTTGAATTTAAGAAATAATTACATAACTAATTAAGTTTGAGATAATTAATTTAGGAATAAAAAGATTCTCATCAATTGCAAGTATTTAGCCTTCATCATTTCTTTCAAAGAAAACAACATTCTTTACTAATTTGAAGTTTCATATAAAGAAAACACCTAAAATCTTTTCACTTCAAATAAAATATGATCGAGGAAATTCCTCTGAACCAAATAATTGTAGAAGCTCGAAGGAAATTCATCGAATTCATCCAGTTATGTACACTTCGAAGTTGTCGATTAATTGTTACTTGCATAAATATTTTTCCAATATTGTTGCACACATGAATATGCAAAAAACGGTTTTTCATTCCTAAAAGATAACTTTCTAATATAAAGAAAATATTTGGATCTTCTGTCTTTTTCACCTATATTGTGCATGGTTTACTAGATTCTTTGTGTTTTTACCTAACAAAAAGCTTGATATATAGATAAAATATTAAGAACCTTGAAGAATACTGTCTGCCAATTTCATCAGTTCTCTCAATGAAATGACAGCACTAATTAAGGATTTATTAGTTAATTAATCATTGGAGAGTACTTAAGAAACTGTAGTTTCATGGATAAACTGTACACTTCTGATTAAACGAATTTTATGGCGTTTACTTTCCATAGTGCTATGTGAACACCACAATGGCTTTGACTCTTGTTCATCCGTCGCTAAAATTTGCCCGTAATTGAGAATCGTCAACGAATGTTTACCCATTGAATTTTCAATGGAGAATAGTAGAATCTTTTGCTTAAGCCACTTTTTTTAGTGTAAAATTTGTCTGAAAATGGAAAATTGAACAACAAATAGATGTTAAGAAATTGGGTTTCATAACACAAACATTTATTGAGGAAAATAGATCAGTACTGAGAGTACAGTTACTCAACTTCTAGCACCTCAACATCAATGACTAGTCTGTAACTGCTGATAAAGCTTCCAACAGTAACAGAATTTTTGCATATTGAGCAGGTCGATAAAAGTAATCCCAGATCTAAGCATTAATTGTTTCTCTGGCGACTAACAGAAAATGCAATGGCTTCAGTTTAGAAATGTAATTAGCTAACCCTAAATTTATGATGAAACATAATACAGATAAGAAACAGTAAATGAACCCATATCGAGTAACAAGAAAGCATGAAAAGACCACTGGAACTGGGAAATTTTCGTACTGATTTTTGGCAGGGAAATTTGATTTGAGGAGACTACCACGAGACAGGAATCTTTATTTCGAACACTTTGAGTTATATGTGGAGGGATTTCACAATGGAAAAGCTAATCAGAAAATGAGTCTTTCTCTTCCGGGACGCTTTAGGGCGTCACCGGTCAAGTCAGAGGTTTTTTTTTTTTGGAAGCTTTTTAGTAATGTTCATAATCATAATAGAGGAAGAAAAGTAAGTTCTTTAAAAAAGAGGTTTTTGCTCTTTTTAACCTTCACCTGGCGGTGGTGCTGCTGATGTTTGTGCAGCCAACTTTTGGGAAGGAGGCCGCTTCCTCTTCTTATCGTAGCTGATTCCTCTAGCTTTCGACTGCAAATCACGAACCTCTCGAAGATAAAGCCTCACAGCACGAGACCCAAAAGGGTTTGTCTCACTTTTACCTCCATTTTCCTCGTAAGCAGCCCGGAGGCGTCCGATTAGGGCATCGAGGCTTCCCCATGCTTGTCGAAGAGGGCAAGGGCACGGCGCAGGAGGGTTAGGGTTACCATAAAAAGAGCAGATTGGAGTGTGCACCTTGGTCTTGCCAAATTGGTCCAAGTACCGAAAGAATTCAAGTACATGAGCACCGCTGCACCGTGCAAGCGAAAGCGGAGGCCTGTGGTTTTTCAGGTACTGCCCAAAAGTGTTCCAGTCCCGGCGTTTCTGGTTCTCATATCGGCTTAAAGTCGAACCCCCCGAAGATGATGTTCCAACCGAAGAAGATGCCGGGATCCCTGTACTGATGCTGTTGTTCCCAGAGTTCGAAATCTCCACTTTCGAGAAGGAATCCATAACCGCATGTATCTCTAATATCTGAAAAAAAAATATCAGGGAGAATATTATGGAAATTCTCTATCTTTAACACGCTTGGATCTTTTAAAAGAACAAAGTATTCAGACTAGCTGTGATAAACACTGAATTGACTCTATGGTTAACAGGTTCACATAATATTTTTTGATTCGAGCCTGCTGCACCATCTTCATATTATAGGGTTACAGATTCGTATGAAAATTGTACAGGGACAGTATGAACAACAGTCGAGGTGGACTTAAATCAAGTAAATTATACAACCATCGATATATAATCATTTAGGTATTTGATGAGCCAAGTTTTCAGATCATCAAAATAAAAAGAGAAAGAAGATCAACTATTATTCCTGATTGATATATCAGGAGATTTTCATTTTCATACCAAAAAAGATGTATGCCTGACATGAATTCTAAAGTTAATGTGTGATAATGGTTTGAGTTGGGTGTGATTAGACTGATGGGAAAGGAGAGAGAAGACTCTACAGTGCAGTTTTTGAGTTTTTTCTTGATTCAGCGATACGAGAAAATCTTGTAAGACTGTAAGAGATGCTGCATTTTAGGGTTTTGTTTTCCCCAATATGAGGGGTGCTATCTAACCCCTTATCTTATAATGAATTGTTACTTCATTACTTTAGAAAGATGAGAGAGAAGAGAGGAGAGGAGAGGGAGGGGGGACTCTTTAAAGCTTCTAATTTAGGGTTGGGCATGTGGGCTCAATTTTAGTTGACCGGATCAAATTATTTACCAATCGAAATTCTACATATTTTGATCATTTAACGGTTCTGATCAAATTAGATCGATACTTCAGCAAAAAATCATTAGGTTTTATATTTGATAGACTTTATTTGTCATAGAAAATGTTATTTTTTCATC